TTGGAGAAGCAGAATTCACTAATAAGAGGTAAGCTTCGTGAATATGGACTTTAGCATCAATATCCTTAACTTTTTGTTTAAAATTATAGCAAGGGAAAGTAAGATTTCTCAAGATAGTAAGAAAAATCTTCAACGGGCGTTTGGAGCTGAAGGTCGTATTAAAGATCTAAATAGTCAAATACGATCTTTAAAATATCAGATAAATAGTCATAATTGTAATTATGTATTAAATAAAATAAATTATAAAAAATAAATAATATTTAATTAATTTACAATAAAAAAAAAAAAAATTTTTTTTTTTATTAATATAAATTATTCTCTACTGCTGATAAAACTTGTGATCAACCTTATCAAAAATAATATTTCTTTTTTGTTTGTTTAAAATAGTAATTTTAAAATAAATACATCCAGTAAAAATTTAATTTTAAAATTACCACAATAAAAATTATTTTTATTTTGCTATGCATAATTAGCATAAGTATTCTTTGAATAATACCACTTAATAAAATCTATACGTCCTCCTTATTGCTTATTGCCTTATTTACGAATCTTCGAATAGCAATAGTCAAATAGCAAAGATAATTATCATGAAGCAACTTTAACCCTGTTTTTTTTTAATTAATATAATTAGAAAAAAATGTCAATACAATGACATGCAGGATTTAAAAATTATAATTACATTAAATGATCATCATATAATTAGAGTAAATTTTTTAATATGATATGCTTTGAATATAGTGTAATTAGAAAAAAAATATGCAGATAATTACATTAAGATCATAAAAATTTGTAAATTATTGCTACACAAGATCGTAATATAGAGTTCAAGAAATTTATTATAAATATAGAGTCTTTTCTCCATTTCTCTCATTTCAAATAATTTTTCTCAATCACTCTCAATTAAATCAATTATTTTTCAAAATACTTTTTTTTCAATCACTCCAAATATTTTTTTTCATTCGTAATATTTTTTATATTCATAATTATATTTTTTTTCACTCATAATAATTCATATTTTTTATAATATATTTTTTATTCACAAAACATTTTTTTTATTATAATATTTTTTTATATTCATAATTATATTTTTTTTTCATTCGTAATAATAATATATTTTTTATTCGTAAAACATTTTATTATAATATTTTTTTTATATTCATAATTATATTTTTTTTTCATTCGTAAAAATAATTTCTTTTTATATATGAGTTTCACACATTTTCTTTTGAAACCCATCAACATTCAAAATACTATTTTATCTGCCTATTACTTTCTAACTCTTAGAATATAGATGAAAAATACCAAGAATACTTTAGTAAACAAACTGTTGACAAGTGGTCACTAATGGATTATGACAATTGGTTAATAAAAAATTTTGATTACAATCAACCTGTCAAAAACCACAGAAAATTTTATTTAATTTTAACCGATATTCTGGTCAATGATAATTTTTCGGCGAAAACAATAAAAGCCAAGTTTTTACTAAAAAATAAAAAAGTAAGTGTAGTACTTTACTGCCATAAACTATTGGCTAATAGTGGTATGGGTTACTTTCTCAATTCCTGATTAATGTCTTTCTTCTTCCTTCCTCACCGACTTCGCCTTAGTGGGGTTTTTAAATCAGATCTAAGCAGCTGAGCAGGAGCCTTTCATAAATGTGAAGGGTATGGGTTACTTCTCAAATTTTCTTACATCCTGTTTTTTTCCACCCTCACCAACTTCGCCTTAGTGGGGTTTTTAAATTGGATTTAATCAGCTGCATAAGGAAGCCTTTTTTGTCTGCAGATAGTATTTCTCATTACCTGACATCCTGTTTTTTCCTCCTTCACCGACTTTGCCTTAGTAAGATTTTTTAATCAGACTTAAGCAGCCAAGCAGGAATTCATTTTTTAGTTATAATAGTTATGAGCTGAAAGGTAGAATTTATTCTATTGATTCTGAAGAAGGAAGCAATTTCACTAATAAATTCCCTTCACTCACTGGCCATGTTGAATTAATCTATTTGATTATATTAATTTGATACTAACTTAATTGTTTTATTGTTAATAATAGAAAGATTTAAAAAATGCCAATTTATTGTTAAAAAATCCCAAAATTTTAAGATTATCCATAAAGCGCCAGAAAAATGGAAGAAGGAAGAGAAAAAATGAAAACATAAAAAAAAGAAGAATAATGATTTGGTGAGAAAAATATTTTATTCATTCGTTAAATGATTTTTTTTCAAATTTATATATTAATTAAATATTACTATATCAGGATGATAAAGAACGGGCTCTCTCTCTTAAGGAGAGAAAGCTCGATTTGAAAGAACGAGAAATCTTCCTAAAGGAGCGAAAAGTAAAACTCCGCTACAAATCATAATCAAAATTTACAACCAAGCATTTGTTTTATTAGTAATTTTATATAGTATAAAAATTCCAAAAAGTTGTGTCTTTCAAAATGTAAATATTTAGTATAATAAAAAGCGATTGCATATTTTATAAAATATTTTATGAATAATTTGATAAACTATATATTTAATGTTAATAATAACGATAATTCAATAAAGAAAAGGCCTCTTTTATTATTAGATATTTATTTGGACATCCGTGCAAATTATTTATAATCGTACTATTACAATCCCAAATTTGTGACATTTGTGACATTGTCGGATTAACTCCTTAGTCCTTTTTCTCTTTTTTTGAATATCCTTAATTTATTAATAAAATATAATACATGTTTATTTCATACGAGTTCATTTGTGTGGCTCATTAAAAAAAATGAATTATAATAGATAAAGAATTATTTTAATACAAAATAATCTGTTCTAATAACGGAATTATAAATAATAAATCCTATTAATATGTTTTATATGAAGAATTTTCAATTTATAATCAATTTTTTTTATCAACAAATTTTGAAAGGTATAGAAAAATAAAAAAATAAAAAAAATTTTATCATAAAACGTAATTTTATTTTATTTTCTTTTTTTTTATAAATTCTCAAAATAAAAAATTTTTTCTACCTAATTCCAGTTTAATATTCTCTGCCCAAAAGTTTTGATTGAAAAATACTTTGTACATCGATAAAAAAAATAAATAAATAAGGGTATTGCTAAATATCACCAGTGGTGATCATCACCACATGTAAAATATTTTTTGAATTTTTAAAAATTTTTGACTGTGACATTATTCTAATTATAATATAAATATCATTACTATATGTAAATTTATGTGTAGAACAAGTTTGCCTTAGATTATAAAGGCTGTTGTTTAGATAGTTTTTGAGAAAAATAGGAAAGTTTGATTTTATAAGCAAAATACAATTTTTTGTTTTAAAAAAGATTTTTTTTAGTCAAATTTTCAAAATTTTAGTGTAATTAGCAGTATCTACTCAGGTTTGTTTTACATATTTATTATTTAAATTGAAATTTTTGAAAAAAAAATTATGATGTGTTTTTTAACTCTGGCCAAAATTATAATTTTCGGCCAGAATTAAGTGGTGTGGTGACGATCACCACTGGTGATATTTAGCAATACCCAATAAATAAATATATTATAACCCTTATTAATATTATTTTCATATGAAATAATATTTAAATTTATATAAAAAACAAAATTTTAATATTATTCTTAAAATATATCCGCAGAAAATACCTTATTTCTCTATTTCTAAATATGGTCTTTTTTTGTTCCTATGCAAAATGTAGATTACCAAACGTATTTGAAAATTTTAGGTTTCCTTAATACAGTAACAAGTTAACGTTAAACATAGCAGGGAGAACTGTAATAGTTCTTACTTATTTTAATTAAGTTGTTTCCTAAATTTGATAAATTACAAAAAAAAATTTCTTTTTTATATATAAAATTATGGTTAGTAGAATTTATAGCATAGTATATAGTTTAGTATAGCCTTTAGAATAGTTTAAGTATTAATTTTTATAAGTACTTTCATAAATAATATGGAGTTAGTGGATAGTATTACAAAATTTTATAAATAAAGAATGCGCGTTATAACAAAAAAAAAAAATAAATTTTATATTATTTTTTATTCTTTATATTTTTTTAAAAAAAAATAATTATATAATTTCAACTTGTATTACAAACATAACGTTTAAATAAATGATGATGCAATGATCATTGTACTGAATTTTATTTTCAAAATAATATATATATTATAAAATATAAAAATAAAAATAAAAAAATAAAAAATTTTATAAACAGAAAAGAATTATAATATAAAAATGTAAAAATATAAAAAAAATATAATAAAAAATATAAAAATAAAAATAAAATAAAAAATAGAATATAGATAAAAATTTTATAAAATAGAAAAAGAATTATAGCATAAAATGTAAAATATAAAAAAATATAATAAAAAATATAAAATAAAAAATAAAAAAAAATTATTTAATGATAATAACAGTGTCGGTCTCGATTATAGGGGTAAGGGAAAAAATTGTGCCTGCGTTCTCTACGAGGCAATCTAGATCTAAAGTGCCTGTGCTCATGACGGTGATGGAAAGATCAGGATCAAGAGCGCCTGCACTTTCGATATTTGTATCTTCTACGGTCCACCTGATTCCTCCTTGCAGCACGAACTCTTGCTAAAAATAAAACAATTAGTTAATTATAAATGTGATAAATTAAATAAAAAAAAATCAATTAAATAATAAATAGTTATGTTTGGTGAGCCAGAATTCATCTGACAACTCTTCATGAAAATATTCATCATGAAGAGTTGGAGTGTGCGTTGAAAATCCTTCTGGATTTTCATTTAATAATCTTTTTAAATTTTCGTATCCCGACTTTAATGAGTTCTACTTAGTCCTGCATTGTTTATTTGTCAGGTTGAAGTTTGGGTGGTCCAAATTTATATTTTGAGCTACTTGGTTCCAGATTTGTTTTTGTTTATATATTGAAGTTCTACAAAATTCTTGCTAAAAAAACTACCGATATTGAATTAATGAGAGAATACCGTCATTCAGCCACGTAATGTAATAATTAACTACTTCAATTCCACTACCAGCATTTAATTGGGCCATTTTTTAGTATTAAAAATATTATTACAAATAAAAAAAAATATGAAATAAAAAAAAGTATAAAAAATATATTATTACTAAAAAAAAAAATATTATGAATAAAAAAAAAAAGTTTGTGAATAAAAAAAAAAATATTGTTACTATGAATGAAAAAAAGGTTTGTGAATAAAAAAATATTATTACTAATAAAAAAAAAAATATTATTACCGAATGAAAAAAAAAAATATTATAATACAGTAAAAAAAAGATTTGCGAATAAAAAATATATTATTACTAATAAAAAAAATATTACGAATAAAAAAGAATTATTAAAAAAAAAAAAAAAAAAAAAAAAAAAAAAAATGATTTTTTTCGTTATTCATAATTATCATTTTATAAATTAAATTTAGATTGTTGAATATTCAGTTGCAAAAAATGAATATTGGAAATTTTAGCATTTTTACATTATTTCAAATAAAATTCTTGTGTTTAATAAATTAATTTATATCGGAATGATTTTAATGGAGTAATATATATATAAATAAAGGTCCATTTGACTATGTAAAATATCAAAATTAAAGCGCCTCCTTTTACGAGAAAAAAAATCTGGAGGATTGTGCATAATTTTTGAGATCGTACCAATTTAAGTAATTAGGGATAGAAAATTAATGGTTAATTATAATTTGATTAATTAACAGTTAATTGCAGATCCGCCTAAAATTGGCACTGCGTTACTAATAAAATTCGGGGTTAAATTTGCCAATTTTGTACTAGAACACAAACTTCAAAAAAGGATATCTCATAGATGACATATTGACTATAAAAAAAAATCATATGATATACTGAAAAAATACTTGAAAAAAATGAATTTGCAAAAAAAAGTTATACATTCATATGCAAAATAATGAGTTTACTATGCACGCGCGTCAGATTTACACCTTAAAATATAAGAAATTTCAATATTTCATTTTATTATATTGCATTATTTACATTAAAAACCTATAATTTTTAGCTTCTAAAGTTGTTTTTAAAAGCTTTTTTGAAACATTTTTATTATTAAAAACAAGTGAAAGTTGAAGAAAACCAGTTACAGAAATATAATTATAAAATTTTTTGGCAAATATAACTTGTCATAAAATGAAAGAAAATATTGTATTTATGATATTTCTGTTTGTAAAATGGTTGAAACTTATTTCGCGCGTGAGATGCAAAAAATGCTTTTTTTATTATCGCTATTATCCCCGAATTTTATTAGTAACACAGTGCCAATTTTAGGCAGATCGGCAATTAATTAAATTTTTATAATTTTGGATTTTTGGTCAAAATTACTAAATCTAATTCAGGTTTAATATGGTCCCAAAAATTAAAATTAATTTTCCAAGATTAAGTCATTTCCTGGGTCACTATTCATTGCTGTAAAATTTCCAAAATGCTGAAATGTCAAAATTAAAATTGATGAAATTCGCCAAAATGCTGAAATTTGAAATTGATTGTAATCAATGATAATGCCGCAATTAATGTAATATTGCAGATTTTAAAATGGAATTGTGCATAAACTGCATAGTGGTCTACACATACACAGTGAAATTCGATAAACCAGATCTTTGATAAACCAGATTTGGGCCTAAACTGGACTTTTTTGCTGAAACCAAATCACGTATATTAAAATAGTTTTGATATACCAGAGTTTACTAGCAAAAGCTCGATATTCGCTATAACAGATCAATTATTTATTTATTTATTTTTATTTTATTTTAGAGAGGAGTAACCAATGAAAATACATAATAGTAGAAACAACTTTATAAAAGCGGAAAACTAAACTATTATGGGTATTAAGGTTATATATCCCTACCAGCAGGACCTCACCCTCTGGGCGGAACTACTCTAACAGTAAAACTTTATTACTGATAAAGAAAAACAAAATGATTAAAGAAGAAGAAAATAAAAATTAAATCTATAAAAATTAATAAAAATCAGTAATGGTTAAAGTAATGGTAAAAATGCTCGTCGGGCTTATATATGATGTAAAAAGATATTATTATAAATGTTAGAGTGAAATTTAGAAAGATCCTCATTGAGTGATGATATCCATGGGAGGTTATGTAGAAAATTTGAAGAAGTTAGGTATATCCATAAGTTATTGTTTTCCAAGTGTCGACGAGAGTCGTTAAACGGACAATAATATTCATTTAAATGTTCGAGGTTATTGCGATGGTTGAATGTGGAATTGTTGTCCATATGGTCACGATGATGATCATGCTGGTAGTTAATAAATGATTTTTTCGTGATATTATGTGTTTTTTTAAATTCTTTCCAAGCGACAGATCTGGCTTTCCAGATACGTTCATATAACTCTTTGTGTAAATTGTATAAAAATTTTAAAAGAATTTTTTTGGTTTTGTTCTTACTGATTTTAGCTGTAAATGGATATGTGAGAGAAATCGGTATAAAATTCATGAGCATACAATGTAAGTCCAGTATGTCCACGATGTGTTAGGGTGGTTTGCGTGTCCATTTAAAAATCAGGTTTCGTGTGATTGTGTCAGAATATAGCGCGTATAAGGAGTCTAATTCTGTGTTTTGTATTTGTTATAAAATTCTTCGAAAATAGGGGTAATAATAGAAAGAACTTTTGGGCAATTCCATAAGTGATCATTCGATTCTTTGTCAACTGAACATAAGAAACATGTGTTGAAGTTATTTAAAAGATCCAGGTAGTTTCGATTTAATATATCTAGCGTAGGTAAATTATTGCTAGAACATTTAATTCGCCAACTTATATGTTTGGAGTATTGTTCGCTAGTTGGTTTAGAAAAGGAATTATATTTAAACCATAATTGTGAAAATTCCCAATCGATTAGATTATCGAGGGCGTAATCTTTGACTTTATGTAAGTTTTTATGTTGTAGGTGCCATTCAAAATATTGAAAGTTGATTATTTGTTTAATAGATTTTTGTATATTTCTATCTATAATAGTATTATCGTAAAATTCCAGGTGACAAGGTTGAGTTTTAAGGTGTTGTATATTAAATCTGATATAGTTCTTTGATAACAATCCTTCTTTTGCTAAGGTGTTAGCAGCGTCATTTAGTGCATCTTCTGAGTGAGCTTTAACTTTCAATAGTATTACATTTAATTTGAGTGTCAAAATGATATGTTTTAGCATGTTCCATAATGTACAATTGTTAATTTTTTGAAAGTGTCGAGCTGTGAGCTTTGGTGAACGTAAATTATTGAATGTGTTGATACAGTTATTTGAATCAGTATATATAGTGATATTACTATTAGGAGGGCATACAATTAATGCTGTAATTATCGCCAATAGTTTGGCTTTTGTCGAACTAGCCCATTCACGACTGGCGCCTAAATATGTGATATTAGCATTCATATCTGTTGTAAATATCCAACCATAACCCATAGTTGGTATATCATCACCTCTAACGAGCAATCCATCTGTGTAAAATTCGAGGTTAGTATATGTTTCTAAACCAGAAACTAGATTTAATAAAGGGATATGTAAAATGTTAGGTTGAACTAATTGTAAAATAAGATTTCGATTTAAAAAATTAATAGAATTTAAATTGGGTGTACTACGAGAATTTCTCAAATTGTAATCTATGAGGGCAATTTGTCTAATAGTTGAATGTTGTTTAATACATTTATAGAATGGTTTTTTGTGATTGGGAAAAGTTAAGTTACTTTTAGATACGTTGATGATAAAAGTGAAATTTGAAAGGGATGTTATATAACAATTATTTGTTAAATTATTATTATAAATGTTTTGTTCCGATAAATTGCATCCAGTACATCTTGTAAGAATGTTAGGTCGTGATCGTGGTGTTTGATTATGAAAGGAGGGATGTGAGTCAGGTATATTTATATAATGTTCGAAAGTAATAGTTTGGTGATGGTTATAAAAGTGGTGTTTTTCTATTACTCTACCATATATAACATCGTTGATGCGTGGACACCAATAAGTGATCCATATATTTTTTATTCGTGTTATCTGTGAACTTTGGGCGATAATCTTGGGGCGTGTGACTTTTGGATTATTGTAGGTGATTACTGGTACGTCAAAAATAAGGCGTAAATTATTTTGATTGAGTACTATGTTTTCTTTGAGGTAATTATACCATACCGGCATTCGTCCCTTTTTGTTGGTGAGTGAGCGTTTTATTTCTTTCCATGTCTTGAGAAATAATCCATCAGCTGTAATTATCTGATTAAGAAAAAATATATCTTTGTTTTTTAGTGATTTGATAAAATTAAAAAATTGATTTGAACGTATAAGGAATGGTGACAGCGGATATTGTCCTCCTTTAGTATTAAATGTGAATGAAAATTTAAATTCTAATTTGTAATGATGCATAATGCATAATAAATTTTCAATACGATTAAGTTTTTTGGACGGTGAATCTAAAAATTTTGTTGTGAAAAATATATCATTTGTCCATAATCTCGATTGAGAGTAAAGGATTAAATATTCTATAATATTTTTAGTTAAGGGGCTATTGGCTTGTGCATTTAATAAAGAAGTTTGTGACGTAAATTGGTGGTCCCAAATGTTTAAAATGTTCGGGTAGATTTGATTATGAATAATGGTATTATAAATTGATCGGGGTAATAATAGAGAAGATTTGTAAATTGAACGTATTGTTCTATTAAAATTATTACATACATATGGTAAAAGAATAAAATGTTGACATAAGTATTCTATGCGTGATATGAGGACTTTGTTAATTATGTATATGACGTGGTCATGTGTGATGCGTTTTGTTTTAAGATTGAAACATGTGTATTTTAGCATCTGGTAAATTTTGTTAATGGTATATTTGAATTTGTTGTTGGTGTTGATGTAAATTCCTAGAATGCGTTCATTTTCAGTAGGAGATACTACTTTGATGTCAATTGTATCTTTACCAAATTTTAGTGGGATGTGTTGTTTCTTATTTATAGATTTATCGTTGGTGAGGATTTTAGTTTTGTCCTTATTTATTTTGATGTTTGCTAGGGCGTAAAAATC